GTGAGCACCGTGGGGCAGGGCGGGCGGGTGCGGCCGGCAGCCCCCAGGCGCAGGAGGGCCAGAGCTCTAGGCTTGCTGTCTGCACAGGAAGGAGAGAGCCAGGCTTCCAGCCTGGGCCCCCAGCTTGCAGGCTCCCCGCTCAGCCCTAGAGGCACACGTCATTCAGTGAATCCCACAGTCCTTGCTTCATTCCCACGTTCTCCCGCCACAGTGCCAGCAGTGCCCTGGAGCTGGGGGCCATCCCTGCCCTTGACAGTCTCGAGTGGGGGTGGAGGGGGACAGTGAGAGCACCTGTGGCAGGGGACACCCAACCCAGTCCTCAGAGGTGTAGCGTGCGTGAGAGTTTGTCAGGCTGGGAGGCCTTGGGCAGGGCGGAGAGGGAGGAAGAGCATCCTGACGGGAGCCGGTCAGACACGGAGCTGGAAGGTCAGGTGAGCAGCGAGGCCACGGGCCCCTGCACCCTTGCAGGCCCTGACCCTAGCGGTGCTGGGGGCCACGGAGGCATTATCAGCAAGAGCATTGGCGTGGGGAAGGGTCTGGGTCTGGTTTCCCTTTTCAGAAATGGCTGGCAGTGCAGAGAAGGGTTTGGGAGGGGCCGTGCTGGAGGCAGGGGGCCCAGGAGAGAGGCAGGTGCCAGGTAGACCTGCCTGCAGAGCTCAGGTGCTGGCGAGGTGAAGGCCTGGGACCCGGGCGCTGCATGGATAGTCTGGAGGGAGGGGAGTGTGACTGGCAGTGCATTCTTCCCAGCCCCAGGCCACGCCTTCTCAGATAGTTCTGCCAGTGTGCGTGGACAGTGTTAGTTGAGCATCCTGCGTCTTGTCCCATTGTGTCCCCACCCCTGCAGGGCTACATAGGGTTCTGAGCACACCAACCCTTGTCTTACTTTACACAAGGCCGGGAGGCCACAACCCCAGGAGAGACAAGTGTGGGCGGGAGGGGTGCCCCAGGCGGGTGGGTGGCCCTTGGTGCAGCCTCCGCTCAGGGAGCTGTTCTGTTCTCCCCTGGGGTGCTCTGCTCCCCCAAGCACGCTGAGCCCACACGGCTTCCAAGCAGCCTGCAGGCGGCCCTGGGCCTTCCTCTGTGGCCTGGGTCTCCTCTGTCTTCTAGGTCTGTTTCTCCACCTGTAAAGTGGGACTTGGGCTGGCTCTGCTTGGCGGAGCAGAGTGGACCGAGAATGTTGTGACCAGCTCTCGTCCTCACCACCCACAGGCACCACCTGTGCCGTGCCCGGCGCTACTGCCACGACTTGGGCGAGCGCACAGAGGCACTGCATGCCCAGGTGGAGCGGTTGGTGCAGCAGGCTGGCCGCCAGCCCGACTCCGCCACCGCCCTCTACCACTTCAACGCCTCCCTCTACCTGCTCCGGGTCTTAAAGGGCAGCACTGCCGAGGGCTGCGGGCATGAGACACAGGAGAAGCAGAAAGCCGGCACTGACCCCAGCCCCGTGCCCACCGGCCCGCAGGTGAGCAGGGCCTGGCCCAGGAGCAGCCCCAGGCGCAGCCCCAGGCATTTCACAGCCAGGGAGGGGAGGCCGGGACTTCCCCAGGACCCAACCCTCAGCCTGCTGAAGGGAGGCCAGGCTCTGCTCCCGTCCCAGGGACCCCTCTCCTGGCCTCACCCAACCCTCTCTCGCTTGGCCTAGGCTGCCAGCTGCTTGGACTTGAACCTGGTGACCCGGGTGTACTCATCAGCGCTGAGCTCCTTCCTGACCAAGCGCAACAGCCCCCTCACAGTTCCCATGTTCCTCAGCCTCTTCTCCCGGCACCCGGTGAGTGTTGGGCCCTGCCCTGCTGACTCAGGGTCCCTGCTCAGCCCAGCCTGCACCTCACAGCCCTTGTCACTCCCCACCAGGTTCTCTGTAAGAGGCTTCTCCCCATCCTGGTCCAGCATGTCACAGGCCCAGTACGGCCCCGCCATCAGGTAAGAGGCTTCCCAGCTCCCAGCCCAGGGCCTGTCTGAATTAACCCACTTAACCCTCTTCTGACTGGATATTGTGAGGCCCCAGAGCGCTGCCCTGGTGAGCACGGGCACAGCCGTCCCTGCCTTAGTGGCCTGACTGTGGTACACGCTCTCTGATGGGGGTGGCCGTGCCCTGGCCCCTGCCACACCTTGAACACAGAGGAGCAGAGGGGGCAGGGCCGGCCTCATTCCCGCAGCCACTGCTGCCTGTCCTGCCACACAGAGGACGCCCCTGGTAGCATCTGCTCAGGTGCCAGGGCTGTCGGGGGCAGGCTGGAGGAAGATGGCATTAAGCCAGTAATGGGCAGGAGTTGTCCCAACCTGAGGTCCCACCTCTGTCCAGCCGGGAGGTTTTGGTGTCCCCCACCTGCACACGAAGGCCTGGGAGCAGGTGGCCACAAAGCCCAGAGCAGCAGGCAGCCTCGCACGCTGCCCACGGCAGCGCCCGGCAGGCCCCGAGCCCTCATGCGTCCCTGAGCCGTGCGCACCCAATGTGCCGAGGCTCCTACCACCCACCTTTGCCCAACCACAGGCCTGCCTGCTGCTCCAGAAGGCCCTGTCCCTGCGGGAGGTGAGGTCGTGCTTTGAGGACCCCGAGTGGAAGCAGCTGATGGGCCAGGTCCTAGCAAAGGTCACTGAGGTAACAGCCGGGGGCGCCCCTTTCCCTACCCCCTCAGAGTCAGTTCTCTGGGAGAGTTCTCCGATCTCTGGGAGAGAAGTGAGGATTGGAGCCTGAGTCGGGAGTGGGGGGAACTGGGGTTGTCCCAGGAGACGGTCCCTGCCTCTGGGCCCTAGTCCTGGCGGGGAAACAGAAAGGCTTTGAGCCGCTCTCCGGAGCGCCTCAGCCTGGCCACCCTCCCCTAGAACCTGCGCGTGCTGGGGGAGGCGCAGACCAAGACAGAACACCAGCAGGCACTGTCCTCCCTGGAGCTGCTCAACGCTCTCTTCAGGACCTGCAAACAGGAGGTGAGGCAGGGGCCCAGCCTGGGGTCGTGTTGGGGTTCCTCTTGGGGGCCTCAGGGCCCCCCGGGCAGCAGTGCCATGCCCAGGCTGGACTGCAGGGATGGGGGTCACGTGGGGAAACTTCGGAGCGCCTGGGCCAGGGCTCTGGATTGTCATTTGGGCAGTTACCGAACCATGGATGGGTGAGTGACTTAGGAAGGGACTGTGCCACCCTGTCCTCCTCCTGCAGGGCGGCGTGAGGGGGTGTGGTGCTGTCACATCCACTGAGAAAGCCGAGAAGGGGCTGGCAGGGCTGGAGACTGGAAGGGTTGGAGAACAGCCAGGGTGGGCAGTCAGGTTTCCAGGCCTGGCGCAGGGTGTGGGTGGCCATCAGGGCAGGGCCAGGAGGCAGCTGGAGGTGGCCACGTGGGTCCCCTGGTCTGGCCCAGAGGGCAGGGTTTGGGAATCTTCAGCATGGGTGCTAGCAGCCCTTGTGGAGGGGGAGCTTGCCACCGGTGTGCTGGCAGGCAGAGGTGGGGCCCGGGACGGGGCCTCGACACGGGGTGATAGTGAGGAAGTCGGGAGAGCAGGGCTCCTGGAAGCCAGCGGATTCCAACAATAACCCATTCAGGATGTGCAGGAAGGTGGCAGGGGTGGGTGGGGAAGGGCTCTGGCAGCCCTGTGGTGATGGAGTGATGGGAAGTGGCCCTCTTGGAGGTGGGCGGGCCAGGGCCACTGCTGGAGGGGAGGACACCGAGACTCTTGAGACCAGGCCTTCGCCTATGGGAAGGACGAGAACCAACACCTGGGGTGCGTGTTGCCTCCCTCGGTGACAGACACGGACGACGTAACAGGCAGAAGGAGAGGCTGAGGCCCGGAAAGGGGCAGGGGTTACTGGTGAGGCAGCAGCAGGGCAAAGGTGGGAAGACTGGGAGTCTGGGAGAGGCCCTGTCCTCTGTGGTCCCTGGGAGAGGCCCTGCCCTCTATGGTCCCCATAGCTCTGCCTTCCCACCCTCTGCAGAAGCTGACCTTAGACCTGACGGTGCTCCTGGGCGTGCTGCAGGGGCAACAGCAGAGCCTACAGCAGCGGGCACACTCCACCGGCTCCAGCCGCCTGCACGACCTCTACTGGCAGGCCATGAAAACCCTGGGAGTCCAGTAGGTTCTGGGAGGGGGACGCACACCTGGGGCGGGGGCTGGGAACACCCGCACGCTGCTGCACATGTACGTGCTCAAGCGCATGCTCAGATGCGGGAGCCATAGGCCTCTGGGGCCCCACAGGACCCAGGTGGAGGTGGCGGTGGCTGCTGCCCTCACTGGGCACCTTCTTCCCTTGCTCACTTCCCTTCAGGCGCCCCAAGTTGGAAAAGAAGAGTGCCAAGGAGGCCCCCAGTGCCACCCAGAGCCCCACCAGCAAGAAGCGGAAGAAAAAGGGATTCTTGCCAGAGACAAAGAAGCGCAAGAAACGCAAGTCAGAGGATGGCACGCTAGCAGAGGATGGCACGCCTGCAGCCACCGGCGGGAGCCAGCCCCCCAGCATGGGCAGGAAGAAGAGGAACAGGACAAAGGCCAAGGTCCCGGCCCAGGCAAACGGGACGCCTGCCACCAAGAGTCCAGTCCCTGGCACCCCCACTCTGAGCCCCAGCACCGCTGCCAAATCCCCAAAACTGCAGAAGAAAAGCCAGAAGCCGTCCCAGGTGAATGGAGCTCCCAGGTCCCCCGTGGAACCTGCAGGCCAAAAGCAGCATCAGAAGGCTCTTCCCGAAAAGGGGGTCTTGGGCAAATCACCACTGTCTGCGCCGGCACGGAGAAAGGCAAGGCTGGCTTTGGTCAGCAGGAGTCCCGGCTTGCTTCAGAGCGGGGCCAAGAAGAAGAAAGCGCAGCTGAGGAAGGCGGGGAAGCCCTGAGCACAGGCACAGGCCACCCTCGGCCCCTGCTTCCATCTGTCTGAGACTCCTATTTTTTTTTTTT